GTCCAAGCAGTCACTGCAGGGTCAGCAATGACTGAGCACAGACAAAAAAAAAAAAAAAATTCTTTATGCCATAGTCCATAGCACTTTGCTTTTGATGTATGATTTAACATATTCTTATAAATAATAAAACAAATGAAAATGGCACAGATGTAATTATTGGTACACCTTAGAAGTTAAAGAACATTGAACCTTAGTGATCTCTCAAGCAGATGCTTTCATTAGTATCACAGGTATCTTCAATCTCATAATCAGTCACTCAGCCTATTTGAATGGCGAAAAATACTCAGGTGTTTTGCATCATTGTGTGCAGCACAGTGAATATGGACAAGAGAAAGAAAAACAAAGAGTTGTCTGAGAAGGAAAGGAAGAAGGTAATAGCCAAGCATGGTAACGATAACAGTTACAAAAACAATGCAGAGGAAAGAGGGAATGACCTTAAGGGACAGGACGAAGAGCTGCTACCAAGACAATGGCCAGATAAAAGAGGACTGGGTCTGGGGCAGGAATATAAGCTAAGTAAATGCCTTGGACAAGACCCTCCCTAGTTCTCACGAAGATAAAGGGATGGAGGGGGAAAGCATATTCAGACTTGCAAGATTCATCTACTGTAGTTCTACAATAAAAGTAGTACTGACCTATATGACATTGGATTCCTACTTTGGTCTACCTGGAAGGGCTGATAACCATTTCTAAAGAGCTTCATGTTCCTGTTACCAAGGTTGTTAATATTATCAAGAAATTTAAGGTCCATAGGACTGTAGCCAACCTCCCCAGATGTGGCCACAAGAAGAAAATTGATCCCAGATTGAAGAGAAGGATAATTGAATGATGGAGAAATAACCAAGGAAAACTTCAAAATAGATCCTGGCTGACCTCCAAGATCAAGTTACAACAATATCAAATTATACAATCTGTTGCTGTCTCACTGAAAGTGGCCTCCATGGTAGAAGACATAGGAAGCCCCACTTCTGAAAGACAGACACACAAAAAATGATGCTTTTAAAGAAAAGAACACCATCCCCACTGTGAAACATGGAGGAGGCTCCAAAATGTTATGGGGTTGCTTTGCTGCCTCTGGTACCAGGTTCCTTCAATCTACACATAGCAGAATGAAATCAGAAGATTATCAAAGCATTCTGGAGCGAAACATAATGCCCAGTGTTAAAAAGCTCAGTTGCAGGTCATAGGTCCTTCAGCAGGATAATGACCCAAAACATACATCTAAGAGAACCCAAGAATGGTTGAAAAGCAAACATTGGACTGTTTTGGAGTGGCCTGCTAAGAGTCCTGATCTGAATCCAATAGAACATCTATGGAAAGAGCTGATCCTCACAGCTGGGAGAAGGATCATAAAACGTAAGATAACTGGAACAGTTTGCTCAAGAAGAGTGGGACAAACTGCCCCACTTGAGAAGTGTAGAAGTCTTATTCAGAGCTACAGAAAGCACTTGATTGGAATTATTTCCTGAAAAGAGTGTGCTACAAAATATTAGGTTAAGAGTACCAATAATTATGTCCATGCAATTTACGTATGTTTTATGATTTACAAGAATACATAAAGTGCCAGCTCTACGGACTATAGAATAAAGAATGGTAGATGCCATTTACTTGTGTTAGTTTCAACTTAACTCACAGCAGGTTGGGATTCTTTGGGAAAAAGTGGAAGGGTGCCAATACTTTTGGCTGCATCTGTATGAGACGAGGGCATAATAGTAAAATCTACAGTTTGCTATTTGCAGTTAAACAGTATAAGTTTCATTATATCTTTCCTTTCCTCTGGGAGCTCAAGGCCAGTTATGGTGTTAGGGGAGGTGTCTTCCTAATTTTATCTCCAAAACAATGACCTTGAGGGAGGTTTGCTGAGACAGAATGACTGGCACAAAATCAAGAAATGAGCTCCATGTTTCAGTGACAACTTGAGTTTCAGTCTCCTTTGCATTTACTGATAAATCTGACTCTTTCATAACAAAACAAATAAAATTAAAAAATATTTTAAAGCTTTTTCTGGATACATTAATTTGTCTAAATTTGAACTGAGGTGGGAGCAACCAGATAAAGGACCAGGAAAACTGAGAAGGGCTGTGAAGATCAATGAGATGGGTTAGGGAGGACTTAAATCCAATTTCAAAGTACAGTGATCCTAAACCATTTGTTGTCAGAACACATAAACAGGTATAAACATACAGGTAATGATCAGGATCAAATTTAGCAGCTTCTGCTGCAAGTCGTTTTTCTCTGCGTTCAGTTGCAGGGGTTAAGTCTGGATTTTTAATATCAACAACTTCATTAAGTTCATCCTGTAAGGAAAAGAACAAACCAATTACTAGGTAAAAAAGGAAGAACATGCATTCTATAGAGTTTAGAAAGTTGTACATTAAGACACTGAAGATGATTTTGGAGGCATCATAAATTCTGAAGAATTCTTTATGAAAAGCATCAATCACTTATTTAACTGCTATCAAATATTCTAAAACACAAAGAACTGAATGATAGCCAGAATACACATTTAGCAGTCACCTGTACTTCTCCATGCAATAAGAAACTGCAGAAGTAATCCTGGGACACCTCACTTAATTGCTATATGATTAATATATTAGCCTCCTATTGAACACAGAAAAATCCTCAAGATGAACAGATCACTTTCTGTGCTTCACTAACCATGGATTAGGTTATCTTCATTTTTTTAATGGCTGCATATACATATAACCATTATTAGAGTTTAGGTGATAAGCAGGGCCTTCCTCTTTCATTTGACTGATAGCAAGAATAAACCAGGCTAAAGTTTTGTTGAGTTTGCTTTAAAGCCTAGCATGCTAAATTGTGAATAGATTCATACTTTACTAAACTAGGGTTTGTTGAATAAGCTACAATTGCAAATGCTAAGCTGTAAACAGATAGATCTTAGTACCTGCTAAGGCTTCCTGTACCACTTGATTTTAAATTTTGAGCATTTTTAACCACAAAAAAATAGGAAGCCACCACACTCATACAAAGCAAAGCAGCAACCTCTAATATCACCTTTAATTCTGATGATTCTAGATGTCAGGTGGCCATAGGCATTTTTAGAAAATAACAGCGACAGATGGCTGTCACCTAATGCTTTGCTTAGAATTGTACACACCTGCCTAAAAAAAGGGGCAGTAATAAACACCCTAGAAAGCTATAGAAACACAGGGAGCAACCTCACCATTTTCTCTTATGATGGGCCATACCCACAAGGGTAACCTCTTCTGGAAAAGGGCAAGACCACCCCAAAGCAGCCATTTTGTGACAATCCCCTTAAAATTCCAAATGGGCCAACTGGCTCAAATAGGTTGTGAATCTCTGGGTCAGTCAAGCTCAGATGATGAGTCTGAGGAGCTGCTCGCTTGTTTCTCTCTAGGCCCTGTCTTTGGTCTTGTTGCTACTCCCTGCTCTACCTTTCATCCCTCCTCCAGACATTACCTCCAATATTATTTTATTTAATTATTAAATTTATATACCACCCAAATGACTCTGGGTGGTTCTACATCCTGTTTTTTCCCCCCCCCTTTTCTAATAAGGAGAAATAAAATATCAACAGAATACCAACAGACACATAAAAGCGACTGAAATAGATACAAGTTGAGAACATATATGAAAAAACTGATCATCTTGATCAATACAAGTATTTTAAGATGCATTGTTTATATTTTTGCTCAAAAGAAATTTGTATAGACAAAAGTAATGTTTTAGAAACTGTTAATACGGTCAAAAGGGGAGAACAAATCGGAATAAAATAAACTTTCATTAACAGATTCCTCTAGACGTTTCGCTGCTGTGCTGATCTTTCTATGCAATTTCCCACATTTTAAAATGAGTGATCCAAACAACCCTTGCGAAACGTTTAAGTTCTCTCCCCAGAAGGTGGCACCCTTCTGCCAGGCTAAGCAATGGCAACCACATCCATCCAGACTGTTAACAATAAACCTATATGGCTACAGACACGTAGTTACCGGGAGCCAAGCTCAGTTTGCACAAGTGTTTAGTTTTCCACCATTTAACCTCAGTAAATCCGGCAGTTAACAAGAAAAAGTAACCATGAGTCACAGTTTATAGGACTTAGGAAATAAACCTACATTAACTGCTAGAGATTACTCATTATTTTTTTTACGATTTCCTCAGAAACATTTGACCCAAGTAAGTACCTAAAATTAGCATTGCTATGAGTGATGGTAATATGTACAAATCTGATTATGATCCCTCCAGCACAATCTAAAAAGTCTGTAATTAATATAACGTAATTCTAAAGGCACATAATACCATCTATGAATTATAGTCAATTCTTAATGGCATGCTAAAGGGATTTAAAAGGACTATTGTGCCATAAAAAGTTCCAAGCTGACTCATCAAATTCAGATTTCAAGTCTCTTTTTCTAGTTATTAAATAGCCCATAGTATTTATCATAGAAGCTTGGTATAATACCAAAGAGATTCTTTTGGTTTAAAATGATGTGACCAAACACCATTTGTCAAATGCTATTCACTCTCCCCTTGTCTAGAGTTCTTTCATATCAAAATAGCTACAATTTTTGCTGCAATTTTGCAGCACAATAAACTCTTTAAGATTCACATGCATATATAATTATTAAAAAAGAGTACACTTCATAAGCTACAATTTTTGACTAGAGCAGAAATTATTTTGTTACACTTCTATAGTGCAAAAGGAGAAATTCCCAAAGAGAAGTATAAATCAATGAGTTGATTAGTTATCTTATTTTTTTAATAGTTAACAGTTTTCTCTATTGTCCGGTCAGTTCTCAGCTTACTGATATTTGGCTCATATGAACTGCATGCTAACTGCCAAGTGAGCAACAATGCCCCTCAGGAAACTATAATGTCTTACTATAAGGATCTACATCACATAATCATATGACATTTGCTTTTTGATAAAAGGAAAATAATTTTAATTTCTCCTCCTAAGCCTATGTTTTCTTGTCCATGTGGCCCTTGTGTCGCTTCTTCTGGGATTCGTTCAGCCTTTCTCTTTTTCAGTTTGTTGCCGTGTTGAAGAAAGACCTTCTCAAAGCTTTGAAAAATACATCTACAAATGTGTCCTCTTTAAACTTATCCTTATCATCACATTATTTAAGAATAAGTATTAAAGCACAAGTCTGAACATAAAGATGCATGGACAAGGGATATGTCATAACGGACAAAGCAATATGGTTCATTTATCACTAAAATATTCCTTTCTATATTTCATCTTTTTCAAAAATGTGTCCAACTGTATTTCTTCAGTTATACAGAAATACCTTTCTTAAAAAGAAAGCAATAGAAAGTCTGCCATCCCCAAGCAATATGTTTAAGGCTTACAACTGACCATACTTTTTCATATACTGTAAAATGCATTATATAAGGTGCAAAATCTCTTTTACCTCCCACTGTTTTCCATTAAGGAGAAGCTAGTTCAGACCACAAAATGCCATTAAATGGCCTTGTTAACACTGCACCAGCCAATTATGCAAAGGAATTTTATTAAGCTTTATGAACCAAGTGGACAGCATCATGGGAAATTCCAAGCAAGTAGTGACTACATAGAGTTTCCCATAAATGCAAAGTAATCATTACAAATATGTATGTCATATACAGGTAGTCCTTGCTTAACAACCCTAATTAAGACCGGAATTTCTGTCTTTAAGTGATGCGGTCATTAGGCACCACACCACTTGGTGATGGCAGTTGCAGTAGTCCCAATTGTGGTTGTTAGGCCAGGACCTCACACTTCTCTTGCCCTCCTGCGCTCACCTCCACTTCAACTCCCCCCACCCACCTATCTCCCCCATCTCTGCCCTTTTGGCCACCCTGCACTCCGCTGCTGCCACCTACCTGCCACCCTGAACTCACCTTCACTGTCTTCTTCCTACTACTACTGACAAGGTGTGCCCAGCCAAGGCAGCTGCTGGCCCTTTGCAAGGCCTTCCCGAAGCCTCATGTGGCCTTCCCTGAAGAACCAGCAGCTGTCTTGATCTGGTGCACCTCATCATCAGCAGGCGGAAGATGGCGGCAAAGGTCAGCTGGGGGCGGCAGGGGAAGACAGGGTAGGTGGCAGAGGATTGCAGGGTAGCCAAAAGGGCATAGAATGCAGGGGAGATAGGCAGGTGGAGAAAGTTGAAATGCATGCTGCACTGGTAAATGTGGGTGGGCTGCCAAACGCCCAAATTTTGATCATGTGACCATGGGGGTGCTGCAATCACCGTAACTTTGAGGACTGGCCATAACTATCATTCGTTCAGTATTGTTGTAACTTTAACAGTCGCTGTACAAATGGTCGTTAAGTGAAGACTACTTGTATTGCATATATATGTATCTCAAATAATTTTTCTATAATTATATTTTTCAGTGTTTAACATTTCATCATAAATACATTAGCAGATTTTGTAAAATTCTCAATTCTGCAAATAGCTAGTTGGATCCAAACTACTATCATGCTTAGCACAGATCTACTGAAATCAATCATGTATGCAGTAGGCTGATTGAAAACAGTGAGATAATTTATTTATCATTAAGTCAGGCACTTAATAGATTATATCACTAACAGATACAGTGTATTTTTCCTAAACCATTATGGAATTAAGGCTTATTTATTCAGTGAAGTTCAAGTTCCATCTTATTAGGTATTCCACTCTCTCCATTTTAAGGTTCAAAGATTACAGAATGTTTCAGATGGGTCAACTTCTATTTCAGACTGGTTCCTAACACCATTTTTAAAAAACAAAAACTGAAAGGGACAACCTTTTAGACACCTTGGTTTACACAGCAGCTGCATCTCATTTCAAGAATACTGCCACAGGGATATATTTTACATTTATATTACTCAGCATTTTTTCAGATTTTATTGTTCAATGATATATGAAAAATGCATTTTTCATTACTAAATATCTGCATTTTTTTAAAATGCCCTCATTTACCTGAAGACGTCTAAATACTCCTGATTTCTGGCTTCCAAATCCATAGGTAGCAGATGGACACAAGGGATCCTCTGTACTTTCTTCCTGAAGAGTCTGTTCTACTTCCCAGTCAAATTCTTCTTCCTCCTCCTCCTCCTCCATGTTCTCTTCATCTGGAGCACCTGAACAAGCATTGCCAACAAGAGCTGCTGACACAGGAATATCAAACTTTTGTATTAATCATTTAGATGGCATTGTATTAAATGCCACCTAAATATATGTTTATTGAATTAAAAATCCTCTTCATTTAACAAGGTACATTCCAAAACATCCAGGATCATACTGATTTATCCTGTTCTTTAGACTAACCACAAACCCATATGGTCAAGATCAAGATTTCAGTAAGTGCCAAAATAAGTAGATTATAAAAAAAAGTCAACCCAAAAAATTTCATAGTGAGTGACTCAAAAATACATGGTTAAAAAACTCACAACTTACCATGCTGTATGTCCCTGGCAATATTCTCTTCCTGATAATTTTTAAATTACGGAGCAGAAATGGTACATGGAAACTATAAGGACCTTGTCTTAAAATACAGTTTAATGAAGGGACATATAGTGGGGCAAAAAAGTATTTAGTCAGCCACCAATTGTGCAAGTTCTCCCACTTAAAAAGATGAGAGAGGCCTGTAATTTTCATCATAGGTATACCTCAACTATGAGAGCAAAATGGGG